CTAACCATTGGACTGAATTCATGTTCTTATAAAAATTGATAGACAATTGGGTGCAAAATCGGTTATTTCGGTTCTCAACATTTTTTTTTGCTTGGAAACTAAAGGGAGAAACAATTCAATTCTCAAGGAAGCAGGTCATTAGGATCAGATGGTTTCTTTTGGTTCAAGTTTGTACTTCTAAAAGCATAGCAAATTTGTTACTAAGTAATCAAAAAATTTTAACAATTCCACACTAGTACTTTAACAATTTCTATAAACAGGGTCCCCAGGTTTATCAATTATACATGTGCACTCCCTGAGTGGACTACTTATTCAGCATGTCTTTGACTGTAGCAATTTTCATGTCATGTAAAGAAACACAATCACAAACTCAACAACATTCACTTGCGCATTTTAGGGATTGTGAGAGTAGAAGCAAATATGATGAACACACCAGCTTCACCGTTCATAGTAATTGATGATTTGATAGCTGTCTAGAATATATGTATTTAGTGTGCATTTCGATGTAATTTGTCTATACTTGCAGTTCTAAATTTCTCTGTGTAAAATCATATTTCTGTGGTGGATGGGGACGACAGATGGACTGCTGTGGCTCTGAAGCTTACCACTGACACTGACTTTTAGCTTGCTTTTTAATAATCTGACGTTTTTGTGGTTGCATTCATACAGCATCGCAGAGATTGGTGCAAATTAGTAAACGAAATTCACACGACAACCTTCTGAACAATTTGGCATTAATGTTGCATATGTGAAACACATTATATAAGTATTGAATATGATATAATGGAATTAAGGTGATTTGAAAATGGGGATTGCTGAAAGATTTTGTGAAAAAGATTTTGAGGCTGAAGATGAATGCAGAATAAAAAAAGAGAATACAAATTAGTGAATACAATATTTGCAAGCAAAAATAATTCCTGCAACCCCATGGGCAACTCGTAATATTGCAAAATTGCCTGTTGTGAACTTTAAATCTCAATTATTAGGATTCTTGTATGAAGTTGTAAACAAAAGTGATTTTGGATTTATTAAAAATGATCCTGTTTTTTAAAATGATGTGACATTACAGGCATATTTGACCGGGAATTGAAAAATCAGTTATAAAATTTCTATAAAATGGTGAACGTACATCGCAAAGTGTATGGTTTTATAAATCACCCAAAAAGATAGATGTTTCAAAGTTAAAAAAAAAAACACTCCCCACGAGTAGTAGCAGTTTGATTGGCTCATTCGTATACTTGGTTATATAAGGTCGGAGCAGTGCATATGAAGATCTAAGAGGTATGTGTTTGGTTGCCGAAATCTAGCAGGAAATATATGGCTAGAAATCACCATAAACAATCCTGTTTAAATCGTAGTAGTAGTAATTTGTGGCGTCTTTTTAAATCATTTTGAGCAATAATTCCTGCTACACTTCGGCAACTAACCGTATACTTGGATCGTCAAGCCCCTGCGATAGAAGCAGGGTATACGGCTGAATGCATTACCTGCAAATCTCTATGCTCGGCCACAATGTTTTCGTTCCATCTTGCAGCCATTTTGACGCTGCCGCCAAGTGGTGACATTTGTCGTACACAACGATTGTCGTAAATAAGAAAATGAATTCTGTACATGTGCAATAGTCTGTGCGGAATAGCTGAAAATAACTACAATGTCATAATACGTTCAGCAGTAAAGAACTGTAATTTAGAATAAAAACAATGTAGTAAATATTACGGCAGACTAATAGGAAAGAAACAACAACTCATAAACAATCCCGGAAGTATTGGAAAGCGGCGAAAATTGATCGGAACATGGAGCATTGCAGGAACAGGAAAAATGATTGGAAAAAATGGTCTATTATATGACATGAATGACTGATATTCACTTTTAGCATGATATGAGTTGAAACACATTATCTGGGTAGGTATATTTTGTATTTATGTTTATCTGTGACAACGAAAAAGGCAAATACATTGATGAGTAGTGATTGTTTACACAATCGGGCGTCCACAGGATGGGAGTGGGGGGGGGTGTATTTTATTATTGCTAAAACCTTGCTTTTTAGCGTCAAAGAGCAAGGTACGTTTCTGCAAAAATGGTTATTTTTTTCCAAATCGGAAGTATTCGCTAGACAAATGTTTGGCTCCGATCAAGAGACAATCACTCGACATGGGGACATTTTTTGCTGTCCAAGAGCAAACTCAACATTCATTTTGAAGGAGGGTAAGGGAAGTTAAATATCTACTACAGCTATAACTACAAACTAATAGTGTTCTCAAAACCAATATGCAAATTATGGATAACACTACATGTACTACAAATATTGTTATTGGAAAGACTAAACTTTTTCAGATACGAGGACACTTGTACGAACAACAGTACCGGTAGGTTATATTTAGGTAGTTTGATTGTATTCAATTTAAGTGGCAGCTGTAAATAATTTCGAAAAGCATCATTCTACCAAGTAGTTTAATAAATTCTGTGGGTATACCACATTGCAATTATTAAGAGAAGGTTCTGTCTGATGTTTTTGATGGCATCATGCACTGTTGAACCCTTAACTCTGGCCATACCTTTCAACATTATCAGCAGTAGAGTTGTCAAGACCACATGGAACATGGAGAAGATGAGTAATATTTGAATATTATTTTGTCTTCAAAACTATGGATGTCTTCTACAAATTTTTCAAAATGCATGGCCTTGAGTACTTTCTAAAACTCTCATACCAAGAGACTAGCAGCTTTTAAAACTGGTTTAAATAATTTAAAAAAATAAGCCAGTAAATTTTGAAAATCTGTAGTCAGATTTACAGATCGGCGAAATTTTACTATTGTTTTTTATTTAAATCTATAGCAGATTTATAAACCATGCCTGCTTAGTAATATCAACCATCTTTCAATATATATTTATTATATATTAATTATTTGTGAATTTGTCATGTATTTTCAGAACTTGTATTACCAGTGATATAATCAAAAGATCATTGCAGTAAACCTGACTATCCTGAACCGGTTCTAAGTTTGAGAGGTCCTTGTACAATTATTTGCACAAATGTATGTACATTGTACAAGTCTTACAATGAGTCAGGATGACAATACTCAGTTGTTTCCTTTTCAAAAGTTACCAGCCGACTGTCAGGTATACATTTTCTCTCATTTAAACAGTATTGAGAAAGCAAAAATTGCCACTGTGTGTAAATCCTGGAACGATCTACTACGAACCCCAAGGCTGTGGAACTGTGTAGATTTTCATATACTCACCTCCTGTGATTGCACCATTTACATCGGTATAGGTAACCGAAGACCTGTCAATACATGCGAGAAATGCAAATCACTATCGCACTATGTAGACTTCAAGCAAAGGTGTTATCGGTACATAGCTCATTTAGCCGAGAGGAGAGCAGTTATTAAAAGTCTGAAGTTTCAGTTTGATCTCCATGAGGATAAAAATGTTTGGTTGAAATTATTGGTTTATGCCTTGAATATGACAACCGTGAATGAACTCAGCATTGTTGATTGTAATTGGACAGTGACGGGAGAAAAACCCAGCTCACTGTATGTAACTGATGATTTCATGGAAAAGAAAAAGGAGCAGCGTGTTGAGGCATTACAAGGTTTTTTACTTGTTCTGAATAAACATTCCCCCAACATCAACACTTTGCGCTTGGAATTTGATTGGTCTGAAACATCACTGGAATTACTTTCATCCTTCAAAGAAATAAAATGTTTGGAACTTTATCGCTTTTGGGTTTATAAAAGCATTCCGCAGGAGAGAATCAACTTTCTCTTAAATAATGCCAAAAAACTGGAATCCTTGAAACTGGAAATATGGGTACCGTACCAACATGAAGAATTGCATCCACAGTTCAGTTTAATGTCTTCCACATTGCAGTACCTTGATGTCTCTTCCTCTAAAGGGTTTTTCATTAGGAGTTTAAATATGCCACAGCTGAAAACACTGATTATTGTACGACTGCCATGGATTGGTCCACTCCTTCCTGTGAGTATGCTAGACATCACATGTGTTTATGATGTACTCAGGGAGGGGGCCCCTAAATTGGAACAGATCAACCAGCACAAGTTATGCAGTGATTGGAAAAATTTATGTTACCCAGAGTTAGAATCACAGTTGAATCACACATGTTATTGCACGAAACACAAAAAAGGCTGGGCATTGTAAACATGCAATATACTAGTAGTCCTGGCTCTTCAAGAACATAGTGAAACTATTAAAACATTGCCCATATAAAGTTCATTGTTTATTCCAAGCCTGTATCTCAGTTGATAGACTGATTGAGAGTGCAGATACTGTAAAAGAGGAAATATTAATTTTAGTGGATTTGATATCGCTGGGAAATTTCTTAGGTTTTAAACACTGCTGTTGTCATTATATTCTCGGGGCGAATCTACATCACAGAACCTTCTACGTTGCTAAGACGTTCACCACTGTACCACGTATTTCTATGGGCTCTGCACAAGCTGCTGTGAATCGCTGATCGAAGAGCCGGTGAAAACAGCTAAATTCAAGAAAACAGTACAAACTCAACTTTGATGTCATCCTTAGCAACCAAATCTATGTATGTTACACATGTAGGGGGTAATTCTGCCATGAGGAGGAAATGTCCGGATGTCGGCCCTCGAGAACACCAGTCTTTCAGTAGACGATGTTTCTTGGGTTTTAATTTAGCACATGTAGCTATTAATGGAATAAACAGAAAATAAAATCCAGAAAATAAATCTTTTGATCTCGTTACTGCCTTGGTTTGCCCTGGGTCTCATAGGTTCATGGACTCATTTCTTCTCAAATTCTTATAATACACATTTTGACAAAAGTTATAAAACTAAGCATAAATATACACTGTCTAACTTATGGAGAAAACAAGTGGTAAACAAGTTTTATCTTTGGTTAAAACATTATAAATATATACAAATCCAAACTTTTAACATTGTAGAAGATGGTAAAACTATTGTGTGATGTTTGCTGTTTTATACAACCTAAAGTTATATTATTGGCAAAACTGAGTTGAAAGCTCTAGCAATTTTTGGTTGGCTAAGTTATTATTTCAAATTTTGCTTAGATTTCTAAACGCAACTACCGGTAACCTATAAAGTACGTACTGTTCAATATACAAAGTTAATGAATAGAATTAGGGACCTAATGATGTGCAAAGAAACATTTCAAGTGTTCTATGTTCATCTGTTCAGAATAGAAAATGCTTTACATCAAAATAATGAGTTTGTTAGCAAGCATTGCACAATAATTTTACCAGCTCATGTCCATAAATGGAACATTTTTTTAGCCTAACTTACATGTACTTTGTAGGTTTTTTTGGGCTTTCTGAACTTAAGGTAGAAGCCTACTCATAAATTAAAAAAAACAGAATTTATTCATTTTGCAATAAATTGTGCTCTAAGGCAATATAAGGATATTGACCTAAAAAAAGTTGGGTGTCACCAGCCTTTTTTTCGAGAAATTGATGGTTTTATTTTAGTGGAAAATCGCCATTTTGACACTATTATAACGCTTTTACCACAGGTTTCTATGGCAGAGATATTATGCAAATCTCAAAATCTAGCCTGGTGACATAGGCTGAAAAAATCATATATTGTTAATGATGGAGTACTTTTTGTTGTTCTGAATTATTTAAAAAATCTAGGTTTTAAAAAGTGTCAAAAAATGCAGTTTTTCTTTAACATTGTGTTCTATATAAATGTTCTAAAAATAGCAATTTTCAAGAAATATTTCAAAAAGCATAACTGTAACACACAAAATAATGCTATTTCATTGTACCATGAGACATTAGCTTCATGATTGTAAATAATAAACTAATGAACATTGTCATGCGATTTATGACCAATTTTGTCAAAAATTATGACTAGGCTTCTACCTTAAGTTACTCATATTGTCATTGATGGCAGTGTTTTAAGTATTTTTATGATTTTGTTTTTTGTACATACAAATAAAAATTAGTTGATTTTATCATTTATTTTAAAAAAGTTGTCATGTTTATCCAGGATTTATAAGAGGAGTGTATGCAAATTATGTTGACACGTGAATTGTCAGATTATCACAAATAAATGTGCATTCCTGGAAACACTAATGCTGATAAATTCAATGTATTTATAAACCACATGGACATATGGGATTGGTTACTGAAGTCTAGTAGGAAATATGATTATGAAAAAAATGGGTCTAATACTGGTATATGACATGAATTGTACTGTTATTCTTTATATTTATGCAACAAAAAATTCAATTAATTTCAGTGGACCACAGAGTCTTGTAAACTTACTTTTCAGCATTAACGGGTGAACGCCACCCTGAAAGACGGAACCGAGAAGATCAAATATCAAAGTAATGATTGACGTTCCATCTACTGACTAGGAGAGAAAAAGACTATAATATATACACTGTATAAGAAGTATATATGTTTTGTTCTGTCCAGTGACCCCTGACCCCGACAGTCCGGCAGTTTCAGACTATCTGGTCTACAACACAAATAGACATCACTGACTCAGCTTAAATTGATAATATTGTTACTGAGGGTGCTTGCAGCTATTTTTAGATTTTTGATTAATCTCAGAAGGTCTGTCGTTTCGATAGGTCTTCAGTCTCTGTTCTACAAACCTGTTTTACACTCACTGAACTGTCTAGTCTGGTTCAGCATAAATAAGAAAATATCCTCGGTAATATTTCATAATATGTTTCTTAGGATGGGGCTGCCATTGGATTGAAAATATTGCTTTTTCAGTTTCTAGAAAAACTACTTGACTCACTCGCTCTTCCTTGCAATATGCCACAGGAAATGCAGAGAATGACAATAAACAATTAGGATGGGTGTGGCTTAAATAAATCGATTGGCTCTCTGATTTTTAACTTTCACACTTCAACCTTTTCTGTTGAGCAAGTTGATCTTTTCATTGACACATTTTTATTATAGAGTACATATATCATCAAATATTACAGTGCTTTATTACATGGAAGTGTCATAATTGGTGGGATGACATGACATAATAGATGCTAAAAATCCACCTTAAGGCCACACTGATTTAATTTTCTGGATGACATCCTCTGAAGACCCCAAAACTAATGCGAGAGGGCGAAAAAAAAAAAATTCGGTCAAAAAAAAAATGCTGCTAAAACCACATGACTACGGAGCTATTATTACGAATTTAACCACAGTGTATCAAAAAACAAAACAAGTCTTTATTTGTAGGAGGCACATGTTGATGTACACATTTCGTACTGTATTACTGTCACAGGTATCATCACCTTTGATTTTGAAAAGGCAAGAGGATAAGGCAGATGTTAGCTTTGCCAAAGGCATACACATCAACTCAATAATAAAGAAAAACTTACTGTGTTGTATTGAAAAAAAAAATAATTAAAAATGAACAATAAGTTTGTCAACAGCAACCTGGAAATTAACTTCTTTGACATTCAAACTACAGCTTTTAAAGTGACACTTCAGATAGACT